TAATCTCAATTGCTCTGTAGTACAGCTTGAGGTTGGGGATGGTGATTCCCCCAGAAGTTCTTTGTTGTTGTTGTTGTTGTTGTTGTTGTTGTTGTTGAGAATAGTTCTCCCTATCCTGGGGTTTTTTTTGTTATTCCAAATGAATTTGTAAATTGCTCTTTCTATCTCTATGGAGAATGGAATTGGGATTTTGATAGGGTTTGCATTAAATCTATAGATTGGTTTGGCAAGATGGTTATTTTAAATATATTAATCCTGCCAATCCATGAGCATGGGAGATCTTTCCATCTTCTGAGATCTTATTCAATTTCTTTCTTCAGAGACTTAGAATTCTTGTCAAACAGATCTTTCACTTGCTTGGTTAGATTCACATCAAGATATATTATATTATTTGTGACTATTGTGAAGGATGTAATTTCCCTAATTTCTTTCTCAGCCTGTTTATCCTTCGAATAGAGGACGGCTACTGATTTGTTTGAATTAAATTTATATCCAGCCACTTTGCTGTAGATGTTTATCAGGTTTAGGAGTTCTCTGGTGTAAATTTCGAGGTCACTTAAGTATACTATCATATCATCTGCAAGTAGCGATATTTTCACTTCTTCCTTTCCTATTTGTATCCCTTTGACTTGCTTTAGTTGTCTAATTGCTCTGGCTAGGACTTCCAGTACTATATTGAATAGGTGCAAAGAGAGTGGGCAGCCTTGTCTTGTCCCTGATTTTAGTGGAATTGCTTCAATTTTTCTCTCCATTTAGTTTGATGTTAGCTACTGGCTTGCTGTATATTGCTTTTACTATGTTTAGGTATAGGACTTGAATTCTTGATCTTTCCAAGACTTTTACCATGAAGAGGATGTTGAATTTTGTCAAATGCTTTCTGCCCCAGCCCGCGGGGATTCGACGAGACCCTAGGGAAGGGGAGGGAGAAAGATGGGACAAGAGGCACAAGGAAGAAGCACAAGTCTGAATGTCTGATCAAGTGCTTAAACTTTATTGTTCGGGTTTCTGTTATAAAGGCAGGCAGGCAGGAAGGTCATCTAGCAGTCAGGGTCCAGGGTCATCCTGTAATTGCAAAGTTCTCTAAGCCCACAAGAATTCCTAGCCCAAAATACTTATCTAAATATTTTCTCACAAGTAAGAAGGCAATTAAAACATTTCTCAGTTCGAGTTGCTTATCTGATTAATAATTTTTCCCTGGCAGAAGGGCAATAAACTATTCCTTAACTCAGGCTGTTTACTTAACTGACATTTGCTCCTAGGCAGAAGGGCAATAAAGTATTCCTTAACTCAGGCTGTTTGCTTAAGTGACATTTGCTCTCAGGCAGAAGGGCGTCTTGGCCCCCAGCAGCTTTCTTAGCATCTAGTGAGATGATCATATGGATTTTTTCTTTGAGTTGTTTATATAGTGGATTACATTTTTATTGGGCAATTGAGTCCATTGATGTTAAGAAGATTAAGGAAAAATGATTGTTGCTTCTTCTTATTTTTGTTATTACAGGTGGAGTTATGTTTGTGTAGCTATCTTCTTTTGGGTTTGTTGGAAGATTACTTTCTTGCTCCTTCTAGGTTGTAGTTTCCCTCCTTGTGTTGGAGTTTTCCATCTATTATCCTTTGTAGGGCTAGATTTTTAGAAATATATTGTGTAAATTTGGTTTTATCATGGAATATCTTGGTTTTTCATCTATAGTGATTGAGAGTTTTGCTGGGTATAGTAGTCTGGGCTGGCATTTGTTTTCTTTTAGGGTCTATATGACATCAGTCTATCTCCTGGCTTTCACAGTCTCTGGTGAGAAGTCTGGCGTAATTCCTTTATATGTTACTTGACCTTTTTCCCTTACTGCTTTTAGTATCTTTTCTTTGTTTTGTGCATTTGATGTTTTGATTATTATATGACAGGAGGAATTTCTTTTCTGGTTGAGTCTCTTTGGAGTTTGGCAGGCTTCTTGTACGTTTATGGGCATCTCTCTCTTTAGGTTAGGAAAGTTTCCTTCTATAATTTTGTTGAAGATATTTACTGGCCCTTTAATTTGGGAATTTTCACTCTCATCTTTACCTATCATCCTTAGGTTTGGTCTTCTCATTGTGTCCTAGATTTCGTGGATGTTTTGGGTTAGGAGCGTTTTGCATTTTGCATTTTCTTTGACAGTTGTGTCAATATTTTCCATAGTATCTTCTGCACATGAGAGTCTTTCTTCTATCTCTTGTATTCTGTTGGTGATGCTTGCATCTATGACTCCTGATCTCTTCATAAAGTTTTCTATCTCCGGAGTAGTCTCCCTTTGAGATTTCTTTATTGTTTTGATTTCCATTTTTAGATCCTGGATGGTTTTAATTCCTTCACTTGTTTGGTTGTGTTTTCTTGCAATTCCTGTGTTTCCTCTTTAAGTTCTTCTACCTGTTTACCTGTGTTCTTCTGTATGTCTTTAAGGGAGTTATTTATGTCCCTCTTAAAGTCCTCTACCATCATCATGGGAAGTGATTTTAAATCTGAATCCTGTTTTTCCGGTGTGATGGGGTGTCCAGGACTTGCTATGGTGGGAGAACTGGGCTCTGATGATGCCAGGTAACCTTGGTTTCTGTTGATTATGTTCGTGTGCTTGCCTTTTGCCATCTGGTTATCTCTAGTGCTACCTGCACTCACTGTCTCTGACTGGAGCCTGTCTTTCCAGTTACCTTGCTTGTGTCAGGACTCCTCATTGGTCCAGGAGTCTCTGTGATCCTGTGATCCTGAGATCCTGGGTAGAAGAGCTCCTATGACTCAGGCTTCCTCTGGGATCCTGAAACCCTGCTGCCCTGAGTGCGGTGGTTACTCTAGGACGGGTCAGGATATGAAGTCTTCACAGGAGAAGACTAGCTAGGAGTCTGCCCCAGCCAAAAGGCAGGGTTGAGTTTTACATTGAAGTTTTAGATAGTTTGCAATTGAATTTTTAAAGGCAACATATAGGCACATAGGTTTATTTGTCCATATTTTACCATCTAGGTTTCCTAGTACCATTTGTTGAACAGGATGTCTTTTGTCCAGAGTATATTTTTGCCTTCTTCATCAGTGTCCACACAGAAGTGCTTGTGTGGACTTCTATCTCAGTCCTCTATTCAATTCAATTAAACTATGTGGCTGTTTTCTGCCAGCACCATGATGATATTTGTACTATTGCTGTAATATTAATGAGAAATGAGGTGTGATGACGCTTTCCACACAATTCTTTTGTTCAGGAATGTCTTAGCCATGCTTCATCTCTAGTAGTCCCACATTTATCCCAGAACTTTTCTTCATCTGTCTGCAAAGAGGGTCCTTGGAACCTTAATTGGAACTGCACTGAATGTGTAGAGTTCTTCAAGTAGGCTGGCTATTTTCACAATATTGATTCTTTTAAACATTGAGCATAGCAGTGGTGTCTCTCCATCTTCTAGATCTTCCTCAATTTATTACATTAATGAATGTCTGATAGTTTTTCTTGTAGACATCTTTCATTTCCATGGTTAGGTTTTCTGTCCAGCATTTTGGGTTTGTTTGTTTGTTTGTTTGTTTGAGATTTTTAACTCATCCATGCTTTCAAGATTACATAGACAAGTTAAAATGGTGACGTTTCTCAAGCGCAGTAACATACAGTTCTAGTCTACCCCACCCACACTTACAATACCAATACCAAGCTCCTCTCCTCTACTCAGTGCCTCTGGGGAGGATCAGTACTTGTCAGCTGCCAAACAATAATGGTTCCTGCTCCTGAGATGCTAAAAAAAAAAACTGAACATGAGACCAAAGAATAGTCCTGGCTCCTTCTTCACTTGAGTAAGTCACAGGGGGAAAACTTACCTGTCCTAGCATCAGGCCAGGTTGGGAATCTCACCCCAGCACTTACTCATCAGGCAGTCTGAGAGAATGACTTAACACATGAGCCTGAACTTCCTCACCTATAACTGAAGAGGAGAATGAGTAACTGGTAAGATGTTTGGAAAAGTTAAATATTATTTATGCACATCTCTTAGTGTGACACTTAGCTGATAGGATCAAGGATGCTAATTTTGCTTTATATTAAGCCAACCTTTTCCCTGTATTTTTGGGGCACAGGTGGGTAGTTCTACACAGTGTTTCTCTGTGTAACAACCTCAGTCTTTGAAATCACAGAGATCTGCTTGCCTCAACCTCCAATGTGCTAGGAGTAAAAATGTGTGGCACCATACCCAGCCTCTACATATTTTTCTTAATTCTGTCCTTTAGGCCTCATTAAGATCTATTCCTTTCCATATGGGAGAGTATTCAGTATTGTAAGATTATAACCATGGGTCACTTGTATCCCAAGTCTTACATCTTGGTTTTAAAATTCATGAGCAATGTCGCTTTCTTCATTAAAGGCTCCAGTTTAGCTACAGCTCAGGATGTACCAAGACGGTCCACCAAAAGTTGACTGTAGCCTATATCATCTTCCTTGCATACAAATGGAACCAGAGTTTTTCAATACCACAAATGGGGTCCTTGAGCGGACTTCCCTAAACTGTTAGAGCACAGTGGATGTAGGGAACTTGAGGCTTATTCCTGAGCTGCAGTTTATTAATCTCCTTCACTTGTGGATGAAATTCATTTGCTATTCCCCCTGTGCTCTGTATTGCTTCACCTTAATTCTACCATCAAATCTAGAACACAAGTTTCCTGTTTGTGAGTGTACAAAACGAGGACAAAAAGATTTTTATTTTTTACCTAAATGATTTAAGCCATCTACCAAGGGACTTGATTACTGTCAACAAGATATTCATTCAAGGATAAAATTGAGTCTGAGATCATGTGGTAGAAGTGTCAATTGTTCATTTTCAGGTCTATTCTCACTATGATGATAGACTAGGCCTAAGATCCACTCAATAACTGAGGGAATGTTCACCTTCCAATTGTATCAAAATGGATGTAGTTCATTCTCAAAGTCTCAGGCATGGGTAAGAGTTTCACAGAATGCACTGAGTGTTGATATGGACATCATTACAGATGCTTCATCTCTCTTTACTTCCAGGAGACCTCAGACCTGCACTGCCCAGGATTGCTCCAGCCTCCAAAGGTTAGTAAAAACTATAAGAAGCTAGAGAAGCCAGTACTATTCTGGTAGTACATCATCTGATTCTTAAGAAAAGCACGGAGAATAAGGATGGAGTCACAGTTTACAAACCTCAACAGAATATAGGAAAGGCCCATAACCAGAGTAGAGTTCCTCTCATGTCTTTTGCTGCTTAGCATGGTGACAATACCTCTACTCACTCCAAATTGAATACCCCACCAAGAAACTATTCTCTTGGTTATGCAGAGTGTCACCCTGATACCTGGCCTCAAAGAGGTAATTCTATTCTTTTAATGGCCTTCCAGAGGAAGAGGGGAGCCAGGGGTGTAAAAGAAAAGAACAGTTTCAGGAAAAGAGCAGGAAGTCAGCAGCCAATCAGAGACCCCAAAGGAGCATTTCCTTGTTCAATGCCTTTCTCACCTTTACCCTTAGATGCTCCTTCCTTGCTACACTTTGTGGACAAGCATCGGGAGCAACTGGTAGCCCGAGTGACATCAGTGGATCCTCTATTGGACAAGCTTCACAGCCTGGTGCTGAGCGAAGATTCCTATGAGGCAGTGAGGGCTGAGACCACAAACCAAGACAAGATGAGGAAGCTCTTCAGCTTCAGCCGGTCCTGGAGTCAAGCCTGCAAAGACCAATTCTACCAAGCTCTGAAGGAGACCCATCCTCACCTGATCATGGACCTCCTTGAGAAGTCAGGCAGGGTTTCTTTGGGATCCTGACATCTTAGTAGTTGAAGGGTGAGCACTCTCCTTAGAGTCCTGGCTCTGCTTGAACTTCCTTTGCTCCTTAATTTCTCCATCTGTAACCAGTAGCCATGTGAGTTTCCTTTCTGATGGCACTGTTTCCAAGACACCTCCTGGGGATCCAGACATTCCCCCTTGGCTTCTCTAGCCAGATGGTTATGTGAGTTTAGCATCTAAAAAAACACCCAGTGGGGCCAGTAAGTTTATTTGTCCATTGTCCAGCCAGCTCTGATAATCAGAGTGGCCAGACTCAAGCCAACCTGACCCACCATTATTCAAGCAGGATGGGGATTTTGAAAATGGAAGCAAAGCAATGATAGTTCTCCATAGAAAGTATCTTATGAATAGGAAAGGAATGGGGCTTTTTAAACTCATGCTGTGTGCTCAGAAACAGAGGTGTAAATAAGTCACATGATGCAGCACGGGACTCACTGCCAGAAACACCTCAGATTCAGTGCACATTGTGAATTAATCTTGAACAGTTCATATGCACACGTCTTCTGTTCTTGTGATGAATTTGCAAGCCTCACATTTAGTTGCATTATCCCATATGAAGGTGTAAATTGCAGTTTAAGAAACTGATGTGTGATGGTAGACCAGATGACTGAACAGAAGGCTCAGTGGTTAAGAGCTGCTCTTGGAAACGGTCAGAATTCCTACTCTCAGCCACCACTTCAGGTATCTCACAACTGTGTAACACCATGTCCACAGATTCAACATCTTATTTTGTACTTAATAGTTACCCATACACAGATGCACATTCAATCACACACACATTTTTTTTTAAATCTTTATAAGAGAAAGACAAAATGGGAATCCTCTCCACTGCTTACTCATCTCCCAGAGGAATTATCTCACCAAAACTCATAGTTGGACTTGAGGCTTACAATGCTATGTTCTTGGCTTGGAACACAGCCCTACCAGTCTCTTACCCCAGGTTACCCAGTTTTCTCTCTGTATTATGTTTCTGCATCTTTCTCTGCCATGCCCATGGACAGAACAGTTGGCCAGCTTCTTAGTGTTTCCCATCTTTTCTTCTTGACTCTGGTCACACTAGCTCTGCTGTGGGGATCTCTGCACCCTGCTTCTCCTTATCTTTTTGAATACAGTATTTTCCTCATTCTAACTCCTGCTCTTACTCAGCCCAGATGTCTTACTCAGAATGCTCCATGGTTTTATTGAATAATTCCAACTTCTGAGCTTCATTTCTGTGATATTGATTTTATGTAGAATATAGAAATAAACTAAATGAATAAGGCAATGACAAATAAAGCCAAGATTTTTAAATGTATATGGCAGATATGACACACTGGGCTGTCATACAAGATTCTTAAATCTGTATGACAGACATGAGACATTGGAATGTCAATCAAGGTTCTTAAACATGTGTGACAGCTTATTTGTAAATAAGTAAAAATACTAAAATATCAGTAGTTAATATACTTTTTATACAATGAGCATCTTAAAGGAAATATATTTGATTTAATGAATTATTGATATTAAAATAAGTTCCCATCACTTTCTTTATCTTCTTACTGCAATGCAAGGTCACTAAGTACTCTGTCTGACCCATGTCTCCATACTAATTTGGTTAGGATGGGCTGAGACACAAGCCCTGACAAAAACAGACTTTCTGTGGTCAACAGCAAATCTGCACTGAAACAGCCTCTATAACCAAGGTTCTCAACTTGGCTCCTCCAGAGGACAAGCTGCCTAGAATTTGGTTTGGCCTGTTGCTTCAGTCAGATAATGGACATTTGCATATAAAAGAGTACTAGTGAATAGAATATCTCAGTATTAAATTTTCTTGCAACAAATATTATTATTCTTTCTCTGGGCTCTGTGTCTAAGGATGTGATCTATAGCCTGCACTGTTGGTGTCTCCTCAATACAAACAATGATGTGGTGCCAGCAAGAGACATCTGAAACTTCAGAAAGTGCTGGATCTTTTAATAAGTTCAAAGGGATAATAAATATTTAGAAATGGAGACTTTAAAGTACATGTACATCTAACATAAACCAATAATTTGAAAGAAATACACTTTCTATACTGAAAGAAGTGTATTGACATGTTTACATGTTGTGTTAATGATAACTAAACCCAATTATAACAATAAATTTCTTGAAACAGAACTTTCAGATGATTAAGGGTTCATTTTGAAATGTCCTACATAAAGGAAAACTTATGTTTAAAAGATGATAAATGGCAACTATCTGCTTACAGGGCATCTGCTGGGGAAAAGGTTTTTGTGTTTGGTTTGTTTTGATTTTTGTGTTTGTTGTTGTTATTGTTGTTTTTAAACATTAAATACTTGAAAAAAGTCAAAATCTAGAGAAAGTCAAGGAAATCCAGTCATACCTTATGCTCTTCTCCCTGAGGGACCAGCATTATTATATTCTTTCCATTTAGTAAAATATGATCTAAGTTTTTATCCTTCCACCATTGTAATTTCTATTCACAAACTATGACATCTTCCAAAACCATACTGGCAACAAATCCAAGGAAACTGCCATCAATTTCTTTTTCTGTTTTCATTTTTTCCAGCCTTTTTGAGACAATTTTTTAGTGTGTAGTCATGACTGTCCAAGAACTCACTTTGTAGACCAGGCTGGCCTTGAACTCACAGAGATCCACTTGCCTCTGCTGCACAAGTGCAAGGATTGATGACATGTGCCAACACCATCCAGCCCAACAATGTCTTTATCACTGTTCATCACTGTGTCATTCTTGATCCTATACACTTGTCCATAGGGTCTAGTGCTAGGAGTTGCAATAGATTCATGGTGGCATTGCCTGGCATGGCCACCCTGGAAGTCTGGTTTGCTTTAACCAGTGATCAGTGCTTCCCTCTTGATTAGTTTGGGCAATGTATAAACTGATGAAAAGAGACCAGACTTCTGAATTCTCATCACCTCCCTTTTGCAGCCTGCATTCGGCTGTCCCACATGCCAGACTGCACCAAAACAAGCTATACTTCTCAAAATGGACAGTGTCCAAACCAGCAGAACCCCTGATAAAGACAAGAACAGATTGTACATAAAACTATTAAGTAGAAGAGTGAGCTTGGTGTCACTTCTGTTGCTCTCACACAAGGTGACACTATGAACCGAGGTTTACATCAATTCTGAGACAGAGAGCAAAAGGATAAAGAGTTTGGTGAGAGAGTAAGTGGGACCATTTCAAGAAAGGGATTCCCGCAAATGTCTGTGGTCTTCTATTTTTCCATGAGTTATCTCTAATAGATTCATTTCTATTCCTTAAGATGAGCTTAATGAGTCATTCTTTGTGCTGTGAAAAGTCTAGAAGTTAGGGGCAGATGCTAATTTTACATCTCCCCAGATAAGTCACACAACAGTTGATCAACAAATATTTGAGTACTTGAAAATGAGAGTATGCACAAAATATAGATACAGACTAAGTATAAAAATGTGTATTATCAAGTGTCACTTAAAACATATCAGATTATTTAAACTTATGAACTTTAATTTTATTTATTGTTTCTGTTTTGGTCTTAAGTCTAAACTGTCCAAGAGAAGTCAGAAATTATTTTACAAAGTACATGTAGAATGGTGTGTGATCTTCAGACTTTGGGAACTAAACCTCAAAACAGACCAAGATTATAAATCAAACCATGATGTTTTATGATAAATTACCTTATTTTAGTGTTTTCTTGAAAATCTTAACAAGACATTCTATTGAATAAAAATGATTTAGACGAATATATTTTACATGATAAAATAAAGGGTTTGTTCTGAAGTAAAATGATAAGCAATAAATACTCATTGGCCACAGAACTATTCAACCACCAAGAGAAACCTTGTTACCAAGTGGTGCCACACATACCCGACATGTGGAAGACTGACCTCTCACCCTGCAGAGCACTCAGCTCCAAGTGCACCAAGGACATTAACACAGACCTGAACTTGAAACTGCCTGTGGGAAGGAGGGGGACACTTCATGGAGCAGCACAGGGGAGGCCTTTCTGAAAAGGACTCTAGTCATCAGGGAAATGAGGCAAATTGACAAATGGACCATAAGAAATTAAAAGGCTGTAATCTAGGGCTCATGGTTGGAATCCATGATCATCAAGGCTAGGAGCATAGCAGGAGACAAGCAAGCATGGTGCTGGGACTGTTGCTGAGTGCTTGCATCCTGAACCACAAGCATGAGGCAGAGACAGAGACATTAGGAACTGTGCAGTTTTTTCAATTCTTAAAGATTGCCCCAGTGTTGCACACCTCCAACAAGGACACTCCTTCTAATCCTTTCCAAACAGCTGCGCCAACTAGGGACAAACATTCAAATATATGAGTTTATGGAGGCCATTCTTATATAAACAACCAAAGTGTCTCAGAACAGCCAGAATGGCCTGTCATAATATACTACATAAATGCTGCCGAGGGTATAGGGAAAGATGATTTCCTATGGATTGTTTCTGTGAGTTGTGTTGGTCTGAAAGATTAAACTATACTTATGAGAAATTTTTTGATAAAGTAAAATTAAGGATAGAGGAAAGCAAAAGAACAAACCTCTCAGATCTCTTAAAAGATGGCTCCGACTGTCTCTCACTGATGTATAACAATTCTGTGTAAGCTGAAATCTTCATCTTGGAGGGAAATTTCTTGCAACACAGGATGTGTCTTAATTTGCTTTCTGTTGCTGAGATAAACACCAGGACTGCATGCACCAAGGACCACCTACTCAGGAATGGCACCACCCACACTGGACATTGCCATTCTCTATCAATCATGTTGTCCCAGGGAAAGATTCACACAAAATCTACCCCTAGAGTTGTTGTAGTTATAGCTGCTGTGTCACATGTGCATCGGTAGGTTGCAGGGTTGAGAGGATCAGTTGTCTAGGCTCAGTGTTGTGACCTATGGACATCTGAATGATTAGTGGATTAACAAACCTGAACAACGCAAACCAAAGACAATCATAAGTCCTGTGGACTCCCAAGGTTGGGAGTTAGTCCAGGTGGGGAGCTTGACCAGGTGGGGAGCTAGCCCTAGACAACTACCAGTCTGCCACCATAGGGCCTGGACATTGCCATTCTGTATCAATCATGTTGTCCCAGGAAAAGATTTCCACAATGCTTGCCCCTAGAGGTGTTGAAGGTATGGCTGCTGTGTCACATGTGCATCAGTAGGTGGCAGAGTTGCTAGAGCCTATGTTTAGGCTCACTGTTGTGACCTATGGACATCTGAATGATTACTAGCTTAACACAATCTAAACAAAGCAATCCTAAGACAATCAACAGTCCTGTGGACTCCCAGGGTTGGGAGCTAGCCCAGATGGAGAGCTAACCCAGGCAGGGTCAAAAGTGAGCCCTAGACAGCCATCAGTCTGACACCTTGGGACATGGACAGGGAGCTAGCCTGAGATGACCACCAGTCTTCACTGTGCAGGTCTACGGGGAGCATGAGGAACAAACCATGCCCAAGATGATTCCTGTCCAGAACCATAAAGCATAGGCAGGGCATCAAACTCCTGAAACCAACCCTGAGTCCACCCCAGATACTCAAATCACTCATGCCACTAAGAGGTGCAAGTAAGTGACAGAGAAATGTAAGAGAAAGAGAAACATAAGGATGTGGGCACAATGAAGAGAGGCTGAATTAAAGACTCAACGGTAGTAAGGAACAGTCTAATAATGAGTAGCCAGTGATGCTACCTGGGATTCTGGTGGAGTACTGTCCTGTGCTGCCTCTGGGTTCACATCAGGATCTACGATATGTCAGCAGCAGGGATCAGTTACCACCAGAGTCCAGGCAGAAATCCCTGGTCTGGGCTGCTGTCCAGGGACATACTGATGTCTGAGTGTTCTGCAGAAATGGCCCCAACCTTCTCCTGGGCATCATGGGAAAAGAAGCCCTGGGGGTATCAGAGCAGGAGAGCTAGATCTGCCCCTAGCCAGCTAGAGTTCTAGGGAGAACAGACCCTAAAAGTTGTGAGTGTTGTGGACGTGCAGGACCTAAGGGTATGAGTATGGAAAAGTTGAACTTGCCATGGTCTCCCATAGGGTAGCAGGGATGAGGGAAAGATACTCTCCTCTCCCCTACAAATCTTTCCTCACCATCTAACGAGACAGAAATCCTGGCCCTGACTTCATAAGAGCTGGAGAATTGGCCCTGCTCCAGCACTTGGGCAAAGGGCCAGCTCCTGGCCTTGGATCATGATACAGCTGACAGTCATATGGGAGCAAAGGTGAACTGGCCTTGAAGGTGTGAGGTGGCCCTGAACTTGTCTGCCTTGCATCAGCTTAAGGAAAGGAGAGAGTTCCTTCCCTACTCTTACCCCTATAGACAGCAAGACAGCTGGCCCTGAGGCCACACATGTGAGTCCACTTGCATATGAAAATGCACACATATCACCTACAGAAAAAGAATATGGTGTTAGTGAGAATCAAAACCCAAATGTGACATTTAGGAGGCTTCAGGAGTCAAAAAAAAAAAAAAAAAAAAAAAAAACAGGGTTTGTGGCCTAAGATACGTTTTCTGAAATGAACAGCCTATGGCTGGGAAGGCAACAGTTAAGGACAGGAAGCAAAGATATCCGAGCACAAATCGGGGTGGGGGGACGGGGAGGGAATCCAGTAGCTATTGCTGACCTGGGACCTGTTGGCAAACCAAGTCCCATATTAATAGAGGAGGGAACTGAGCTCAGACATGAGTCCTGTGCTGAGGCAGGCAGGGCTTCTGCAAACCCGGAAAAAGCTCTCACCCTGACTCCTCCAGCCCAGGCACCTGCAGTGACTTAACAGGAAGTAACCTGAATAATGTTCAACTTACATCTGGGCAGGTTCTCTGTCGCCTGCCTTCCTGATAAGGGTCCAGAGTCTCTTTCACTTTTGAAGAACAGTTTCCTACCTGAGGAGCCTTATTCAAGGACACACACTCCAGTGGGCCCCCTGGAAGAGTAGGGTAAGTACTGGGACCCAGATTCCACCAAACCACTTAGTTGTGGGAAGGTAAGGGCTGGCCTCACTCCACTATGGAGTATGTAACAGACATCAGGACCTCGTCCTGAAAACCAGGGCCCAGGGCCCAAGGCCCAGGACCCAGGGCCCCAGCCTCTGCTTGGAGAGTCTGCAGGTCAGCTCTGATGGGTGATAGACTGCTGGATTCACCTGTCTGACTCATGTGCCTGCTCCTGTCATAGCCTATCCTGCACCCTCCTGTCTGCCCTGAATCTGCACGAATACATGTTCTGAATGATGAGGTAGGTATTCAGAGGGAGGACCATGGATGAGACATATATTAAACATCATATATGCTATTTGCAGGGGTTGTGTGGGATAGCCAAGGTCCCCAGAGAGCTAATTTAGGCAAAGTTAGTGAAGAAAACGGGGTACCTCAGCATAGTTGCTGATAACTGATAACCACAGCCCTCTGACTTGGCTCCTGCCTTGAGCTCTCCATTTCTCCTTATCCTCATACATCATTTTTTCCCTGTCCTTTAAATGTTATACACGAGTTCCTCCTGAGTGGTATCACTGCCATTACTCAGGTCACATTAGGACAATGGCTGCCCTGGCTAGGGGCTACTGAATCCCCTATCTTCCAACTCATTAAACATTTCACAGCCTCCTGTCTAATACCTGCTTTTGAAAGTTACTCCAGAAGTAAATGGCAGCAATCACATGACGGATCCAGGAGAGTAGATCAAGTACAAAATCTCTTTGCAGCACATGAAACCCACCACCAACATACAAACCCTTAACCCCTAGGCACAAGATGGAGCTTCACCTCCTTCATCCCCCTCCCACAAGAACCAATCAGGAAAAGAACAAACACATCCCCCATTCCTTTCATATGTTGTTAGGGTGAAATAAATAACCTTAATAGCCTAAAAAAGAAGCTTAGACAAGCTAAAAAAAAAAAAACTCAATATAACTCAAGCATACCTGCCTTCAGGAAAGCCAACGTAGCAGCTAGAACATCCCTGGCCTCAATCAGCTGGGAAACAATAAAGAACATGTCCACTATTAAATACATTTGTCCCAGAGTTTCCTTTTCTGCCCAAGAAGCCTAAGCCCCTGCACCTGGACACACAGTACCCATTCCCCAGGAGAGACTTTTGTCTTTCAATTGTTCTGATCAAAGGACCATCTGACACTGTCCAGGTTTGTTTGCTTTTTTTTATTACCAGATCTCCTCTATCAGTTCTGATCAAACATCCTTTCCCAGAACAAAACTGTCTGGCAGAGACAAGAAGTCACTGGTCTCTAGATTGCAACAACAAAAGAGTCTTGAAGCAATAAGATCACAAACTGTTCAGAGAAGATATATCCGAGAGCTCTATCATCATGGAATAATCTCTGCTCAAGCAGAAAAGTAACACAAAAGTGGCTCAGGATCAAGGGAAGGAGCTGAGTCAGAGGGCTGTGAGTCAAATGGACATGGACGCCACCTCCAAAACAAAGAAAAATATGAATGTGGAGCTGATGAAGCACAGAGTCCGACCAGGGAGGAGCTCTAAGCTAAGTAAGTACACCAAGAATCCCAACCCATCACTCTGTGACCCCTTCATCACCACTGAGCCCTCCTGCCAAGGATTCTATGGGCAGGGTAGCCTCATGTCAAAAGATTTCACAGGCTCCAGGTCAGGCTGGAAAAGGAAGGCTTTCAGAAACCCCTAACTGAACTCTAGGGAACACTCTGTTCTGCTGGAGTACATGCTCAGGTTCCCATGTACTACTTAAAGGCCCCTGGAAGGAGCACCCTGAAGCTGTAGTGGGGAGAGTTAGGTGTGCAATTGTTGCAGAGAAGGTTGGTATAGGGGTAAAGCCAGCTCTTGAGAAGAGCTATAATTGACACCAATGTTACAAGTCCAGACTTTAAAGCTCCAACCCTCCTCAATGAATCCATCTGGGAAAGGGGAAGATGAACAGTTGTTATCTTAGGCTGTAGCAGTTGAGTGATAATCCGTGTCAAATATTAAACAGTCTGATACTCAATAAATGTTCAATAATTCTAAGTACAAGCCCATGCAATTGCTGCTTTTATTATAGTGTGCAACCCTGTGGGACAGAGCCTCAGAGCCACACATGGGGGAGCTGAGGCTCAGAAAGGAATAGAGATTCACACAGAGGACCAGAGTAGACCCTGGAGATGTGTGTGAACTTCTAGGTTCCAGAGGAGGTTTTCTAAGCAGCACCTGTGAATGCCTCATTGTCCCTCATGTGACCATGGAGAAGGGTATGAGGGTAAGCATGAAGGACCCCAGCAGTTCTCCCCACCTCCTACCTCTGCTTCTCTGACCAACACACAACTGCTGTCTTCTTCCCATAGGACATTCTTCCTCTTTACTCAGACCCACAAAGGGGGGAGAGAGAGAGAGAGAGAGAGAGAGAGAGAGAGAGAGAGAGAGAGAGGAAGAAAGAGCCTTCCACACACAGCCCACTACCCTAGACAGCTCCTCAAAACTACCAAACTCAGACCATGAATCTGGGAGACATTTTCATATCTTAAAGGAGAGGTTAATTGAAATCTAACAAGTCTGGGTGCAGAAGCAAAGATTAACTAGCCTGAGAGCTGTAGATGGGACATTGAGTCACATAGATGTGGCTCTTCCCATGTGAGCCTGCCCCTGTATGGAGAATTGGGACAAGGAACTCAAATGCAAGGCCAGAGCAGCATGGTGGAGTGCTAAGTGTCACAGGCTAGAAATCATCCTCCAGACTCTGCCGTGCTGAAGTTCCATTTACAGATGCGGAAACTGGAACCCATGAGTCTAGCCTAAATGGCACCCAGAGATCAGCTCAGAATCTGAGTGGGCACTGAAGATCCTTGGTATCAGGAAAGTCCTGAAGTTTTAAGGTCTTATCTATTGAGGTGGACCTGAGAAAAGGGTATGCTCCTATCTCAGCTTCAGCCTGTTTCTTCTACTGAGTTCCCTTAATTAATTTGCACTTGCACAGACAATGCCTTTGCCTCCTCCTTTACTTGAGGATCAAAGTAGCCACCCCTTTCCAGTGCACAAGCTCTAGAGAGAGGTTAACTTGTTCAAGCTCACAGCACATAAACACAAACATGAGGCTGGAATCTAGAACAATTAGTGCCTAAGGAGTGACTTTCTCCTCCTCCACCCACTACTGCTCTGTGAAAGTCCTGCCTACACACAACGCTTATATTTCCTTCAAAGTCCATTCTTCCCACCCCACCTTGAGCTGGAGGAACCTCATTTCACAGTCAGCCTGAGCTACACAGTGAGATCTATTAAAGT